ACGTGTAGTAAATTATGTGAAAGTTATAGCGTTTACAAATGGCGGGAAAGATACTGGGATTTTTAATTTTTTTTTTTTACTAATAATGGCGGCGATCAGCGACTTATGGCGGCGATCAGGGACTTATGGCGGGACTGCGGACATTCTGACACTGGGGGGGAACTGACTTGGGGTCACTGACATCCCCAGTGACACCAATACAGTGATCAGTGCAAAAAAAACCCACTGACACTGTACTAATGGCACTGGGGAGGAAGGGGTTAACTTTATTATTCAGTGAAAGGGTTAACTGTGTGAGTGGAGTGTTTTACTAGGGGGCGGGGGTGTGTACTGCAAGGAGACACACTGATCCAGACAGATAAACTCTTCTGTCCCGATCAGCGTGTCAGGAGATGTCAGGGAACTGACAGAGAGCAGAGCTACTGCAGCCCTGCTCTCTGTCAGTGATTACCGCTAATTCGCCGGGACATAGCCGGTAGCGACCGGCTGTGACCCGGCAACTGACATCTGCGGCCGTGATCGGCGGGACAGGTAGGGCGGCGGCGCACCTCGCGCACGCCCCCTACTTGTTTTGAAAACACACATTTTAAAACATGGTTTTGCCCAGCCGTGCCGCCATGCCGCCGTATTTCTACAGTGGCTGGGCGGCATGTGGTTAAAGAATATGTAAATCCAACATTTTATATTTCTGATAAGTGCCAAAAATATTGGCACCCCTGCATTTCTGTCAGATAAAATGGTTACAATTACAAATGTTAAGGCATTTTCAGTTTAATTTCTTTTGTTTGTATTGGTATGACACAAAAAGTGGAGAAATAAAACACCAAATTTGACACATTCGCAAAACCCCAAAAATGGACTGGACAAAATTATTGACACCCTCAATTTAATATTTGGTGGTATCTGAAATCAATCACTTCCTGTAACCGTTAATGAGTTTCTACTGGAATTTTGGACCACTCTTCTTTCACCAACTGCTCCAAGTCTTTCTGATTGGGAGGCTTCCTTTTCCCAACTGCTGTTTTGAGATCTCTCCACAGGTGCTCTATGGGATTGAGATCTGGACTCATTGCTGGCCAGTTCAGTACTCTCCAACACGTTGTCTTAAACCATTTCTGGGTGCTTTTTGACACGGGGGCCTACATTGCACCCCAGAATTCTTTGGTAGTCTTCAGATTTCATAATGCCATGTACACGGTCAAGACATCCAGTGCCTGAGGCAACAAAGCAACCCCAAAACATCAGTGAACCTCCACCATGTTTGACTGTAGGGACTGTATTCTTTTTTTTAAAAAGCCTTGTTTCTTTTCTGAAAACAGTAGAATTGATGGGCTTTACCAAAAAGCTGTATTTTCGTTTCATCTGTCCACAGCACATTCTCCCAAAAGGATCTTGGCTTCCTCAGGTAAGTTTTGGCAGATTCCATCCTGGCTTTTTTGTCTTTCTGTGTCAGCAGTGGGGTTCTCCTGGGTCTCCTATCATAGCGTCCATTTCCATTCAGATGGCGATGTATAGTGCGAGCTGACACAGTTGTACCCTGTGCCTGAAGGTCAGCTTGAATTTGTCTGGAACTTGATGGAGGTTCTTTATCCACCATTTGAACAATTCTTCGTTGCAATCTTTGATCAATTTTTCTCTTTCATCCATGTCCAGGGAGATTAGCTACAGTGCCATGGGCTGTAAACTTCTTGACAATATTGCGCACAGTGGACACAATAAGATCTCTGGAGATGGACTTGTAAGCTTGAGATTGTCCATACTTTTCCACAATTTTTGTTCTCAAATCCTCAGACAATTATTTGCTATTATTCCTCTTCTCCATGCTCCATGTGGCATGTCACAGAGACACACAGCAGAAAGATTGAGTACATTTTTTTTTCATCCTTTTAACTGGTTGCCAGTGTGATTTCTAAATTGCCAGCAGTTAATGTATACAAGTGAATTTAATTACAAATTACAGGAGCATCAAAAACTTGGAGTCTGGGTGCACACTAATGCGGTGCAGGACACCGCATGTAATTTGCATAGGAATTGCACCGCGTTCGAATTACATGCAATGTCTGTGTGGTGCAATTTGAGGCTTACATTTTTTTATGGCTCAAATCGCATCTGCACCAAAAAGGTCCAGGACCCTTTTTTTATCTGCAGTTGAACTGCATCGCATTGGGTGTTCTCACCCATGCGATGCGATTTCTGGCAATTGCGTTTTGCGATCTGTTTCGAGGTGTCATTCATTTATCATTGACACCTGCACTAGGTCGCATGAATGTGATGTGATTGCAATGCTGTGCAGGAAACGCACAGGATTTGCAGTATTTCCTGCACCGCATTTAAATCCCACAACGCAATGCAATTATTTCTTACAATTTTCTGGGAGAAGGTGCCAATAATTTTGTCTTTTTGTTTCTCTACTTTTCTGTGTCATACCAATACAAACAAAATAAATAAACATGAGAATGCCTAAACATTTGTAATTGCACCAATTTTCTGGGTGAAGTGGTGCATTATCTGACAGAAGTGCAGGGGTGCCAATATTTTTGGCCATTTTGAGACCCCTGTGTGTTACCTGTATAATCCAAATAGATTTTTGCCTTTAATTGTCATGAGAGTATGAATGTGGTACTGATTTGGCCCCCCATTTTCTTGCATATGCCTGCTGCACAACATACAGAGAGAGGCACTCTGCACACTGCCTGTCTCTCTATGCCACGTTGTAGCTGGTCTTAATTACCTCCAGTTTCATTATCTATGAATTATATTTGAATCTGGTAGAGAAGTGATGACACTTTGTAGTGGTACTAGTAAGAACTACCTGAATCAACTGCACCTGTCGGTAAAGCTGCTGAAACAAATGACAGGGATTTTTTTATCTGGTGCACCACATAACTCCCCTTACGGCTTTATTAAATTTCCCTGACTATGTGTATCACTCGGTAGCTACAACTCAATGACATAAAATCTGAAGCAAATTCGAAACCAGTAGTTCACAATTAGAGATGAGCGAGTTGAACTTGGCGAAGTGGAATTCGTTTCGAATTTTAGGAAAAATTCGATTCGCATCGAATCCGAATTTTAGCAAACTTCGGATGCACGAATCGAATTTTCCCCGATCAGCCGGCAAAAGTGTCACTGCAGAGAGCTCCGCTATTTCTGACAGTTCTCTGACAATTCTGACAGTTCATTTACAGCGGTTGAAACATTGTATCTATTTGTTTCCATTTAGGATACAGATGTTTTTATTCGGAAATAAATAGATACAATGTTTCAACCGCTGTAAATGAACTGTCAGAACTGTCAGAGAACTGTCAGAAATAGCGGAGCTCTCTGCAGATACACTTTTTGCTGTACTGGATAATTCTTCTTTCTTCTTCTTTTCATTCTTCTTCTTCTTTTTTCATTCTTCTTCATTCTTTTTCATTCTTCTTTTCATTCATTCTTCCTTCTTCTCATTCTTCTTCTTTTCAATCTTCTTTTCATTCTTCTTCTTCTTCTCATTCTTCTTCTTCTTCTTCATTTTTCATTCTTCTTTTCATTCTTCTTCTTCTTTTCTTCTTCTTTTCATTCTTTTTCATTCTTCTTCTTCTTCTTTTCATTCTTCTTCTTCTTCTTTTCATTCTTCTTTTCATTTTCTTCTTCTTCTTCATTTTTTCTTTTCATTCTTCTTCTTCTTTTCTTCTTCTTTTCATTCTTTCTTTTCATTATTCTTCTTCTTCTTTTCATTTCTTCTTTTCATTCTTCTTCTTCATTCTTCTTTTCATTCATTCTTTTCTTTTTCTTCTTCTTCTTCTTCTTCTTTTCATTCTTTTTCTTCTTTTTTCATTCTTCTTCTTCTTCTTTTCATTCTTTTTTTCATTCTTCTTCTTCTCCTTTTCATTTCTTCTTCTTCTTTTCATTCTTCTTCTTTTATTTTCTTCTTCTTTTCATTCTTCTTCTTCTTCTTTTCATTCTTCTTCTTCTTCTTTTCTTTTCTTCTTTTCTTCTTTTCATTCTTCTCGTTCTTCTCTTTTTAATTCTTCTTTTTTCTTCTTCATTCTTCTCTTCATTCATTCTTCTTTTCATTCTTTCATTCTTCTTCTTCTTTTCATTCATTTTCTTCTTTCTTCTTTTCATTTCTTTTCATTCGTTCTTCTTCATTCTCTTTCATTCATTCTTCTTCTTCTTCTTTTCATTCTTCTTCTTCTTCTTTTCATTCTTTTTCATTCATTCTTCTTCTTCTTCTTTTCATTCTTCTTCTTCTTCTTTTCATTCTTCTTTTCATTCTTCTTCTTCTTCTTTTCATTTCTTCTTCTTTTCATTCTTCTTCTTCTTTTCATTCTTCTTCTTTTCATTCTTCTTTTCATTCTTCTTTTCATTCTTCTTCTTCTTCTTTTCATTCTTCTTCTTTTCTTCTTCTTTTCATTCTTCATTCTTCTTTCATTCTTCTTCTTCTTCTTCTTCTTCGTCGTGCCCCGTGACTGCCCAAATGAGTGAAGTGTGCGGTGATTCTAAGATCGACGGCACTCATCTGCATGTCATACTGACTGACAGTATTATTTCTCTTCCCCAGCAGACTCCAAGGGCATTTAAATTAAAGGTACAGTGTTCTGCACTAATATAAAGGCTCTCTGAAGCCTAGAAACCCTTTAAATAAGTTAAATTCGCGGCGAATAAATTCGCATCGAATCGAATTTCTCCCGCAAATTCGGCGAATCAGCCGAATCGAATTTTTGAATAATTCGCTCATCTCTATTCACAATAACAAACGAGTCACATCTTTATAAAGGGCATTTATACATTAACAAGTATATAGACTGTAAGGGCCAGCATTCAGGATTGTATACTCTTACTGTATTCATGTGTTCTTAAATCTAAACCATTTTCTTGCATCAACTGTGCTGTCAAAATTACTCTAATTTAACCGCCTCCCACCCGCCATATAAGGTAATGACGGGTGCAAGGCGGTCCTCCCATTCTAACTGCGCGTGCGCGCGGCTCTGGGAGCACATAGCTCAGCGATCGGCGGTGCGCTGTGTCCCTCAGATACAGCAGATCACCAATCAATGGAAAGAGCCAAAGATGTCGGCTCAGTCATGTGATCAGCTGTGTCCAATCACATGTAAATAGGGAAATGCCGGTTACCGGCATTTCTCTCCTCACGAGCTGTCACGCTGACAGAGGAGAGCCAGTAATCGGCACTCCTTCAGAGGGGACATCTACACTGATCATCAGGGCACTGATCATCAGTGTGCCCTGATGATCAGTGTAGCCCCAGCAGTGCCACCTGTCAGTGCCCATCAATGCCAGCTCTCAGTGCTCATCAATGCCACCTGCCAGTGCCCATCAGTGCACATTAATGCCACATATCAGTGCCTACCAGTGCACATCAATGCCACATATCAGTGCCCATCTGAGTTGCCATTCAGTGTCACCCATCAATGCCACCTATCAGTGCTGCCAATCAGTGCCACCTATCAATGCCAGTCAGTGCTGCCTATCAGTGCCAGTCAGTGCTGCCTAACAGTTCCAGTCAGTGCCGCCTATCAGTGCCCATCAGTGCCGCCTAACAGTGCCAGTCAGTGCCACCTAACAGTGCTAGTCAGTGCCGCCTATCAGTGCCAGTCAGTGCCATATATGAGTGTTGCCTTTCAGTGCCCATCAGTGATGCCTGTCAATGCCCATCAGTGCCACCTACTAGTGCCTCCTCATCAGTGCCCATCAGTGCAGCCTATCAGTGCCCATCACTGCAGCCTCATTAGCACACATCAGTGAAGGAGAAAGATCACTTATTTACAAAATTTTATAACAAAAACTTCGAAAAAAAAATTTTTTCAAAATTTTCAGTTGTTTTTTGGTTTGTTTAGCAAAAAATAAAAAACCCAGAGGTGATTAAATACCGCCAAAAGAAAGCTCTGTCTTAAAAAAAATGATAAAAATTATATTATGGGTACAGTGTTGCATGACCGCGCAATTGCCACTCAAAGTGTGACAGCACTGAAAGCTGAAAACTGGCCTGGGCAGGAAGGGGGTATAAGTGCCCTGTAGGCAAGTGGTTAAATATGCAGATCAAACAGAATAATATGTATAAAATATGCTTATGGAAAAAAAAAATATGAGTGTAAAATGTGAATCCAAAACTAAAAAGTGCGTGTGAGAGGGTTCCATCACCACTATGACACTGCAATTGTCATGACAAATTCATAACGTCCCAACCATCCAGGTAATCTTTCCTCCAGCAATATAACTCGAAAAGGAATAGAAACTATATATAGTGTTTTCTCGTTTTAAAATGCCATCAATAATTTATTAAAAAGAAATACACTCACTATGTCTGTGTACTATAACCCATTAGTGCACCACTTAAATATACAGGTATGGGTCCCCTCTAGGGTAAGAACGCAGCATCGCCATACTCTTCAGTATCCAGATCTCTCCTTCCTGGAGGTGTGATAATGTCATTCAGCCCTGCGCTGACGCGTTTCCTCACTTCCTGTGAATTCTTATAAAGGAAAACTTACTGGAAGAAGCTACTCTGGATCTTAATAAATTATTGATGGTATTTAAAAATGATAAAACACTATATATAGTTTCTATTCCTTTTGAATTATATTGCTGGAGGAAAGATTACTTGGATGGGTTGACAGCAGTGGTAATAATGAAGGAGGATTCTTGGAGGAAACACTCGCAAATCAATACCAACCATTTCAAACCCCTGAAGGGGAAAGCGCATGATGACCTAGCTTTAGGTCCAGGCATTAAGGTGAGCATGGAGAGTGATTGGTGATGGTATTCACTGAAGATTGGTCACGGTGCTGAAAAGGAAGCATTCTTAATTGTGGATCAAGATATTGCTTTGGACTTTATAAACTGGTCATGACAATTGCAGTGTTATAGTGGTGGTGGAACCTTCTCACATGCACTTTTTAATTCTTAATTCATATTTTACACTTACATTTGATATATTATTCTGTTTGATCTGTATATTTAAATTGGAGAAATTTTGACAGCATGGTTAATGGAAGAAAATGGTCACATTTAAAGTGTTACTAAACCCACAACAGTAAAATCAGTCTGTATATGCAGTAAAGCATGCTTGTTATACTCACTGTGGAACCTAAGGGGTTAATTCTCTGCATTGTGTAAAAAGGCTGTTTGGTCCTGACTTCTCTAATCCTCCCCTTCCAGTGTCCCCCTCTTATCTCCTTATCTTTTCTCTGCTCCTCCTCTTGTTCAAATGTCCACCTGATAAGATTGGCACATTCACATGCTCAGTTTAGTGTGTATTGCTAGAGAGTTTTTTTTTTTTCTTGGGAGAGTGCATGTGATCAGCACAGGGCCAATCAGCACTGTCCAAACAGAGGTCAGGGTTTTTGCATCTTCCGAGAACAGAAAGAGAACTCATCCTATAAGCTTTAACCAGTGCTCTGCTGAAGTCACTAGACTGCTCTAATTGCTGATAAGAAAAAAAGGTATTTAGCAATTTATATTTACTAAAATAATTGCATTGCCATGTTCTTTGTACTGTGGGAGACCAGATAGAGTGAATGCAGGGTCCTGAGTTTTGTAATACTTTAAGAACACATGAATGTAGCGCAGCACTTTTTGGTTATTTATTTATCAGGTATATGTGGGAGCACATTTTAGTGTATGGCAGCAACATTGAGTCAATTTGCTAATTAGTGCACACACATTGTTTTCATATATTTATTCATTTGGATAGGTTGATGCACCGATCGTGCTGCACAGAGAGTTTTTGATTTATTGATTTTATGTGTTATACTTTTACTATAGTACACAACCAGTATGAGAAGTGTGCAGGCATTCAGTGCATGCATGCTATACATTTTGAAGCCAGTTACTAAGGGTAAAGTTCAGCTTTCATTCATCTCCATTTCTCATCTCTGACATAGGAAATTATGTTATTTGTTCTGCAATGTTTATCTCTAATTTTGAGTAGGCACACTTGCTAAGAATAGAAATATTGTTTTAAACACTTGACCTCTGGAATGTTTTACCCCCTGCATGACCAGAGTATTTTTTTTTTGCTAATTAGCACTGAGCTACTTTAACTGGCTATTGCGAGGTCATGCAACACTGTATGCAGACAAAATTTATATAATTCTTTCACACAAATAGAGCTTTCTTTTGGTAGTATTTGATCACTGGGTTTTTTAAATTATACAAACAGAAAAAAAACAAAACAATATTTTCTACTTTCTGTTATAAAACATTCAATAAAAAATTAAAAAAATCTACTTTCTTCATAAATTTAGACCAAAATGTATATTACTACGTGTCTTTGGTAAAAAAAAAATCCTAATATGTGTAAATGAATTGGTTTGTGTGAAAGTTATAGCATCTACGAAATATGGTATATATACTGGAATTTACACAGCTATGATGCTATACTGCTGATCAGCTACTTACAGTGGGACTTTTATAGTGTGGTGGGCAATCGGGCTGGGAGGTACACTGACTGATTAACTGACACTAACACAAATAGTGACACTGATACAGAGATCAGTGCTAATACTGTACACTGTCCCTGTACTAATGATATACTGGCTGGGAAGATGTTAACATCTAGGGGCACTCAAAGGGTTAACTGTGTGCCTAACAACAGGTAATGTGTGTTATACAGTATGTGCTGCTTTTACTTTACTGGATGGCTGTTTTATTCTTCCTGCTTTGTAGGGTGAATAAACTGCCAGATCACTATTCCCTTACACAGAGTTCTGTGTTTTGTAAACACAGAACTCTGTGTATGATTGGACACAGCCTATCAGCTGACTTCAGCCAAAATCATTGGCTGAAATCAGCCGCCAAGCTACAACACAGGTAGGAAGCCGCAAATCACGTTTATACGTATACGTGACTGTGTCTGCCCATGCTGCCCTGCCACTGTAAATGTACAGGGGCGAGCAGCAAGTGGTTAATAAAGAATGTCTGTACTGAAAAAATATGTAGATTGCAATTACTAACTCCTCTTTCTGCAAATGCTCATTGGCTTTCTGCTAGTTTGCTGTATTATCTCAGAAAAAGATAGCAAATCAGGAGTTCTGATATCATTCTGACTTTCTAACCTGCATTCTTCTTCTAGGTCACTTATGCAGGCCATAGACGGGTCGATTATTGGCCGAATTTTCGTCCACACAAAAAATCGGCCGATAATCACGCCGTTAGTGGGGCCAGCCCGTTGACTGTTTTTCGCAGATCTCCTCATTTATTTTTATCGGTCATGCTGGAAAATCCACAAAAAAAACAGCCATTTTTCGTGGACATGGGTGGCAGCATCAGCAACGGGGCCGACCGGTTTTTTTGTTTATGGGCCGAAAATTCGGCCGATAAACAGCCTATCTATGGCCTGCCTAAGGGCTCATGTACACTGCAGCTGATAAACTGACATTCAGGAGCTGTTCAGTGTTTTTTTTCAGCAGCTCCTGAACTCTCCCTAATGTTTTCCTGTGTCCATGTACACATAGTCGTTTACAGTCATTTACAGGCAGTTGAGTTTAAAAGTCGTTTTTTTGAACGCACCAAGCTTGCATTCAGGAGTAGATTTTACTGTCGTTTCAAATGCCAAAAGCTTGTAAACGTGTGCAAATGCTTGTAAATGCGGTTAACCGCGTTTATAGGCGTTTGCATTTAGAAGCATTTTTTAACTGTTCCATGTCCAGATGCTGTCCAGAGCCTTTTTTTCATCATCAGAAATGCATGGAAAGTGTTTTCCAGGTACTCAAATGGACCCAGTACACCAGTGCTGTCAGTTCCAGGTTTCACGTGAAGGAAAAAAATGATAGAACGCGCTGCATTATGCTCATGATGGGATCCATAGTGAATACAACCAGAAAAGACAGGTGATCTCAACACATACTGCTCTCTCTGCTTCTGCTCTCTCTATTTCTCTCAAAATGTCTGAAATAGTTAATTTTTTACTGTTTTTCAGGGCATTCTGGGCATTTGGAAGGTCTCCTGAGGTTATGTTTTCAAAACGCTTCTAAACACAAACGCACATAAACGCGCTTAAACGCAGTATGCAAATGCGGTTAAACTAATGTTTTTTAACCTACTTTTCCAGCAGTCAGTTTCCATCGTTCAGAAGCTTTTTCCAAACGCCCCCTTGTACATGAGCCCTAACTCAGAAAGTACTTTAGTTAGACACAGCTGGATAACTAGCATTCCCAGAAGGATGTCAGCAATGGCAACCCCCATATTTCTCTAAGTGCAATTTTCCTTGAAAGTTCAAGTTAATAAATTGCAACATACAGTGGATCTCCAGTAGTGCTGCACAAAATGTCAAGACTATCAGATAAAATAAAGAACCTTGAGAAATCTAGCATGTAAATCACAGGAATGAGAAGCTATAATCCATTTTATTCATTGATGTCTATTTTTATTCTAATTCTATTCCTGTATTTTGTGTTTCAATTACCAAAGAATGAACATCAAATTAAAATGTGTGCATTAAACCAACACATAACAAAGTAAATAAAGTCTGCAAAGACTTTGTATGTTATCCCAATGTTTGTGTGGGTTTTAATATATCGAGAGATGTTAGCTTTTCAAGTTATAAAATAGTTAAGGAAGATTTACTACATAGTTTTTTATTTGTCTTCAAA